ATAATAATAATAGCTAGCATGTAGCAAGAGTTTATTCTGTATGAAGCACTCCAATAAGCCCTTCATCTATTCTGCAGGTAAAAGGAAACAGATCAAGCTAACTTAAGGAAATAGTAATAATATTATCAAAATAACATTTTTTACTTCTAAGGAAGTTATTGGATCATTTAAATGAAGAGTCTAGGATTAGATCTTCAGGGACAGTGAATTGCTCAAATGATGTCAGGAATCCATCTTTCTCTCTGCCTGCCTCTCTATTCTGGTTCTCAGTGAACTGATTTCATTCTTCAGCTGGTTCTGTGAAAGTATTGGCAAAGATATACACCAATGGCACCAGACTTATATTCTCCTAGTTAGTAACCCCAGTGGAAAACAAGCAGTACTGCTTTTCTGGTAGTTTTAGCAAAAGTCCTAGGGCTGACCCTAATTGAACTAGTCACACACTTGACCTTGTGCAGTTACTGTGTGTGGGCAGAAGGATGGAATTCACTAACTTGCCAGGCTGTTCACAGACCTGGAGCTAGATGCAGAGTGAGCTCTATGCAAATCACAGGGATTGAGGATGGGATAGATGTATTTTCCCAAAGAAAACTGGAGTTGTATTATTAGAAATAAGGACATTAAAAGGTGAACAAGAAAAAAAACAAAAAACAGAAGTCCACTCCATGCTGCCTCTTGTCGGTCCAGTGTTCACACACACACACACACACACACGCACACGCACACGCACAATTCCCTTTTTTCCATATATACACTTGCAGAAACGTTCCCACTTAACATAATCTAAATGATATTTAGAATGTATTCACTCGGGGTGCCTGGGTGGCTCAATCAGTTAAACGTCTGCCTTCAGCTCAGGTCATGATCCCAGCATCCTGGGATCGAGTCCTGCGTCGGGCTCCCTGCTCAATGGGGAGCCTGCTTCTCCCTCTGCTTCTGCTGCTCCCCCTGCTTGTGTTCCCTCTCTCTCTCTTTAGTGCTCTCTTTCTCAAATAAACAAATAAAATCTTTTTTAAAAATGTATTCACTCATTCCAAAGGAAAACAACCCAGAATCTTTTCTAGTCACTGCATCCAGCTGAAAGTCAAGGGTCATTTGGTGATATTCACTCCTTTCAGTCTGGTCCATGCGTGGGTCCTCAAAGCTATCAATCCATGGTTAAGTGATGCTTCTACCACAAACGCTTTCAACACACAGTGATGAAGGAAAAACAAGGTAACTCTTTGGATCCATGACATGACATAGAGCAAAGACCGCCTATCCTACCAGGAGAGCAAACGTGGTGATCCACAATGTGAGCCATGACCAGTTGGGCAGTCTTGGAGAGCTCCCTTGTCTTGCTCTTCCATGACTGTCTGAGATGGGCCCCTGTAAGGATTTCCCTCCCTGGATCTGCATACCATCAGCCTCATTTGCATGAAGGAAGAGTGTTGGCTGGGCTCCTCCAGGCTTAGGGTTTGTCTGTTCATCTCCGTTAACACTTACTCAATCAGCTGTCAGTCCACCAGCTTTCTGCCACTCTCAGAAGTAGCAACCAAGTCAGGGTTGTATAGATTAATAGGCCACTAACCTCCCTCCTCCCACCACACTCTGAGCTGTTTATGCTTCCTAGACACAAGTCCCTCAGGCTTGCCTGTTATACTGACCCTTTAGGAGATGTCCTTTTACTTGATATAATGCAAAACAAGCATATGTTTGCCAGTAAGTACTTTATTCAACTTTGACAGATCGTAAAATTCTTTTTTCATGATGCAGGTTCCTTGTACTGTAATCTCCAGAAAACTTAGTTTACACAGAATGCCAGGGAAGGCCAATCAATGCTACTGTCCCACTATACACATACACCCCTCAAATACAAAAAAAAATAATTTTTACTAGGCTCTCTCAAGAACTGAGTGTGCAATGTTTTATTAGCAGATCTAGATAAAGTTATCAACAAATTAAATTTAAGACAATGAAAGAATTTTCAGAGAAATAATTGTTAACTAGAAAGAAGTTTCCAAACATGAGAATTTTTGCAAGCATGGGGAAAGTGCTAGAGAGAACTTAACAAATGTTTGAACAAAATGTTTCCTCCACGGTTTGACACCACAAGAGAGGGTGCAAAAATGAAAGCAAGAGGCTGGTGGACCTAAATGACATCATTAAAGAAAAAGAGAAACACGAATGATTTGGTTTGCAGAGTGGCTCAGAACAGTGTGCTCTGGCCCTGGGATATGAAGCCACGGAGGCTGGTCCCAACTGTGCTACTATATACAGCCCTTGAACATATCACCTAATATCTCATGCAAGTTTCCCCATTCACAAACTGCAGAGAGACAAAGTGGGCGGGAGGACAAAATAATCTTCCAGCTCCAAAGACTGCACAGGTCAATTTGAGAATACCAATACTACCTATTCCGTTTTCATTGAGTCCAGAACCAGGTCCTGGGACCCTCAGACCAATGATAGTTCAACCATATCTTCACTCAGCTGAACCCAGGGAACATTTTTAACTGTCAAGAGATTTATTTATGGCCCCGCCCTAAAACATTTGGTCACTTCAAGAAGTTGCCTCTTTTTTATAGAAAGTTCAACAGCATTATTGAGATATAATTCACATACCATACACTTCACCCACTTAACATACACAACTTAATGGTTTTCAGTATATTCACCAGGTTCTGAAACCATCACTGCAATCAGTTTTATAACATTTTCGTCACCCCAAAAAGAAACCTCTTATTCATTGGTAGTTGCTCCACATCTCTTCTCAAACCCTCCTGCCCTAGGCAACCACTAATCTACTTTCTGTATCTCAAGATTTGCCTATTCTGGACATTTTCTTATAAATGGAAACACACACTATGTGGTATTTTGTGACTGGCTTCTCTCAGCATGTTTTTAAGGTTCATCCATGTTGTTGTATGTATCAGCACTTCATTCCTTTTTATGACTGAATAATATTCCATTGTACAAATACACTTCACTTTGTTTACCAGTTGATGAGCATGTGGGTTGGTTCCAATTATGGACATTTGTGTGCCTTTAGATGTGAACACATATTTCACTTCTCTTGCTTCAGTAGACATCTAGGAGGAAATTGCTGGATCTTACGGTAACTGTGTTGAACATTTTGAGGAACTGCCAAACTGTTTTCCAAATGGTTGCAACATTTTATATTTCTACCAGCAATGTATGAGAGTCCCAGTTTCTCCACATACTCACTAATATTTTTCATTGTCTGTCTTTTTTATTAAAGCCAACCTATTGAATATGAAATCACTGTGATTTTGACTTGCTTTCCCCTAATGGCTAATGATGTTGAGCACATTTTCATGGGCTTACTGGCTATTTGTATATCTTCTTTGGAGAAATGTCTATTTAGACACATCACTCATTTTCAGTTAAATTTTGTTTTGTTTTGTTAGTTGTAAGAACTTTTTATGTATTCTGGATACAATTCTCTTACTGTGTATATATGATTTACAATATTTTCTCCTATTTTGTGGGTTATCTTTTCACTTTCTTGATGAGGTTTTTTTGAAAATCAAAGTTTTTCATTTTGCTGAAGTCCAGTTTACCTGTTTTTTCTACTGTCCCTTGTGCTTTTGGTGTTGTATGTAAGAAGGCTTTGCCTAATCCGAGGTCACAAAGATTTACCCCTACATTTTCTTCTAACAGTTTTATAGTTTCAGCTCTTACATATAAGTCTATGATTCATTTTTTAGTTAATTTTTTACATGGTGTGAGGTAGAAGTTCAGCTTAATTTTTCTGCCTGTAGTTATCCAGTTGTTCCAGCACCATTTGTTGAAAAGACAATTCTTTCCTCTGTTGAATTATTCTGGCACCTTGTCAAAAATCAACTGACCATAAATGTATGGATTTATTTATGGACTCTCAATTCTATTCTGTTTATCTATATGTCTATCCTTATGCCAATACCACAATATTAATTACTGTGGCTTTAAAATAAGTTTTAAAATTGAGAAATGTGAATCTTCCAACTTTGTTCTTCCTTTTATGAAACTGTTTTGAATATTCTGGGTCCCTTACAATCTTATATGAATTTTAGAATCAACCTATCAATTTCTGCAAAAAAAAAAAAAAGGAAGCTGAAAGAAAAGAAAAAAGGAAGCTGAGATGTTGATAGGAATTGTGTCTGTTTTGTATACCAATTGTGGAGGCCTGGAGTCATTTTACAAAAGGAAACTCCTCCAGTTTGTAATCCCCAGTAAGACACGCCTGACGTTTTTACCTCTGTGCATCATCAGACCCAGCAAGGGCTACTTGAGCATTAGGTATCCCTTGAGAGAAAGGTATTATGTTCTACTTCTTTGCATTCTGTTCAATAATCTTTATTTATAAGGCATTTACAAATGTGAAGCACAATGTTGGAAGCCAACTCTTGGTTTAATCATTAGATGACTAATTACTTCATAAGAAAAATCAATTTAATCCTACATAATATCAATTTAGGTGTAATAATCCTTGGCTTTAAGTTTGGGTCTGAGTTCAGCACACATTTCTAGCCACAAAGCTGAATGCTGCTAAAATGACCTTCTAAGAAACCTACATAGATTAAGCAGACCACCTGCCTCTGGATTGTGTAGCCCAAGATTATAAAGTACTAGTCCCTGTTGCACACGACTAATGCAGAATTTTGCAAAACAATCTATTCCCTTTGTCATTATATCCTAAGCAATATATCACTTACATCATTCCTTTCTATTTTGATTTAGGATTAAATTTGAATTAGGAGCTCATTGTTGCCTGTAGGGGGCAGTCATAACATACCTAGACATTCAAAACAGGAGGCTCTCCCAGGAATAGAACACTAGTGGATAAGCTGCTGATCCACAAAACAAATAATCCTTCAGATAGTGTAACCTTCCAGGGAGGTCCCCAGCTGACTGACAGATGGCCCAGCATCAGCCAAACAAAGAGAAATAGAGTGGATCCTGGGCTAGTATTGTTAAAATCAGGCTGCAGGACTCACTTGGAACTTTATTGTAAAAACATGCCCAATCCTTCTCAAGACAACCAAGAGTGCCTCCAGAAACATTTCTCCAGGCCATCTATGTGGAAGCAATTTCTGTCCCTGCCCAGGGCTGAGGGATATAAAGCAAACATTCATCAAACCATGGAAGATGAAGGCAGCACCAAAGCTGTGCACGATATCAAGGTAAGATGATCTCCACAATCCATGATCCTTTCTTGACAAAGAAAAGGTTTATCCAGAAAGAATATAAAACCATAAGCAAGCTTTCATAGTATTGTTCACTTTATCTTATTGAGAATTTATCAAAATATTTTCAAGCCAACCCCCAGAGAAAAATTAGAACCTTGATGATAATTACCAGATCTGTCCAGTTTTCTCCAATCTAAACAGCTTCCCCTTGCCAAGGCAAATGCTTATTTATTTATCGTTTGTCTGTTTCAGGAGGTAATGTTTTAAAAAGCAGAAAACATAGTCATAGATTTTTCTGACTTTGATGTTTTGTAGTTATTGTGGCTTGGATGTTTTTCTCTGAAATAAAAATTATATTCTGTATAGTAATGAAAGAAAAATTATAGGCTGCTTTCTACAAAAATTGCTCAAGAAAAAAACTGATAAAATAATACAGGAATATAAGAACATTAAGAAGCTAAGGGATGTTTTTCCTAAATTCATAGTTTCCTATGGTGAATTTTCTAAGCATGAATTTCTACCAATAGATAACATTATTTCCCTGAAGAGTGACAATGTCCCTGCTCAGTGTTGTATCTTTGCAGTTTAAGTCTGTAAATCCTCTTAACTATGAATAGAATCATCTCTTAAAAGGTTATTCAGAGTGGAGGGGGATGGGCATGTGTTAATTCCTACCAATAATCAGAGCTCAGAATTAAACATTGCAATCATATTGCAGCAAACTTATCCAAATACTTTAACACCAAAAAATTGATCTATCCTTGTGCCATGGCTCATATCCTGATAATAATCATGATTTATTGTCAGACATCTTATTTTAACTAATTGGCACAGGAAAAGGAAAAATGTAGGAATGTACTGACCTTCACTTTTGAGACAGTTGTGAACAAATAATAAAGGTTATTCCACAGCTCCTATTATCACCTGAGCACTAGGTCTTTGGGAAACTAAAATGAAATGGATATACTGGCTGGAAGTCCTTAATTAACGGGCATCTAAATCTAAATGTAGGGAACCAATGCAAAAGAGATTTCTGAAAGGTAGAATTTGGAGGCTACTCTGGGGAAACAGCAACAACAACATAGGTATGTTTTATGTGTGCATATATATATTATGTGCACACACATATAATTTCAAAGTTCTAACTGTATCGAGGGGTATCTTTTAAGCAGAATCATGGGCAAATCCATTGGAAAGGTATTTATGAATCAGCAGTACATCTTCCCACAGCATCCTGGAATTAAATGCACAGCCAGCACTGGGCAATCCTACCTGCGATCCTGACCTCATTCACCTGAGTAAACAGGTTCCAGCCGGTGCAGTCAGGTTCGAGAATCAGAAGTGATCCGGTTGGGTTGCTACTGGCCTCTCCACTCAGTTGTGCCTCCTCAAAAAAATCTTTTTATGTAACATCTGAATATAGATGCACATATAGGTGAATATGTCCCTCTGCTAACATATATAAGGATGGTAGAACTCAATTCATTTTAAATCTACAAATAGCACAGCATCCTTACTATCTGCAAAATCTGGGCTAAGTTTTGAGAAAGAGAAAGATATGCCCTTCCTTTTTGCAGACTTACAGTATACTGGGAAAGACAAACATATCAACATATTATCAAATTATCATATTATCAGCATGACTTATGTCAATAGTAGAGGATATCTATGTAATTACATTCTTTGATCAGGAAGGCGGTAAGAAGTTAGGGATGGTATATGACCGCTATGGAGTAAAACAACTAAAAAAGGCCTAATGAAAGAGTGAAAGAGATGAAATTTAAGGTAGACATGAAATAATGTCTAGAAATATAGAAAAGTAGACAGGGAGAGCATGTCCAGAGGCCAGTTATAAAAACCTTCAAAAATCCTCAACCTGAGCCTCACACATTATACAGAAATCTACTCAAAATGCATCATGGACTTATAAAATGTACAACTGTAAGTAAAACTATAAAACTTTTAGGAAAAAAATTTTTAAATCTTTATGACCTAAGGCTAAGCAGAGTTCTTAGACATCAAAAGTATAGTCCATAAAGGAAAAATTAATAAGTTGAACCTCAGAATATCAAAAATAAACTTTTGCTTTGCCAAAACCCTATTAAAAGGCTAAAAAGATAAACTACAGAGTTTGAGAAAATATTTGCAAACCCCCTATCTGACAAAGACCTTGTATTAGAATATATCAAGAAGTCACAAGACTCAAGAATAAAATAACAAGCAATCTAACTAGAATATGGGCAAAGAAAATGAACAAGCATTCCATCAAAGAGCATATACAGATGGCAAATAAATACATGAAAAGATAGTCAACGTCAAAGCCATTAGGAAAACGCAAACTAAAAACACAATAAAATATCACTGCACCCTTATCAAAATGGCTATAATGAAAAACAGTGAGGGGTGCCTGGATGACTCATTTGGTTAAGTGTCAGACTCTTGATCCCAGCTCAGGTCTTGATCTCAGGGTCATGAGTTCGAACCCTGCACTGGGCTCCACTTAAAAAAATTTTGACAAAATCTTTGTGCTGGCAAGTCTATAGAGAAACTAGATCACCCATACGTTTCTAGTAAGAATGCACAATGGTACAACCCATCAGGACAACAATTTGGCAGTGTCTTACAAAATCAAACATGCAAGGATCCTATGGCCCAGCTATTTCACTATTGGGCATTTATCCCAGAGAAATGAAAACCCATGTTCATGAGGCTCCTGAGTGGCTCAGTCATTAAGCGTGTGCCTTTAGCTGAGGTCATGATCCCATTGGGCTCCCTGCTTGGCGCGAAACCTGCTTCTCCCTCTCACACTCCCCCTGCTTGTGTTCCCTCTCTCGCTGTCTCTCTCTGTCAAATAAGTAAATAAAATCTTAAAAAAAAAAGAAATGAAAACCCACATTCACACAAAATCTGTACATCAACGTCCACAGCAGCTTCATTCACAACAACCAAAAACAGAAACAACCCAAACTCCTTCAAGGGATGAATGAAAGACTGTGGTACATCCATACTATGGAATACTATGAAGCAACAAAAAAGAATCAATTGTTGATATACAAAAGGAATGAACTATTGATACATGTCCCTTGGATAAATCTCAAGGGAATGATGCAGAGTGAAAAAATAATAATCCCAGAAAGCCAAAAACTGTGTGATTCCATTTATATAATATTCTTGAGATAAAATTATAGAGATTGAGAACAGATTTGTGGTTGCCAAAGATTAGGATGCAGAGAAGGTGGTGGATGTAAATGCAAAGGGGTAGAATGGGGGAACTTTGTGGTGCTGGGACAATTCTTTATCTTGATTTCAGTGGCGGCTACACAAACCTACAGATGTGATATAAGTCCTTAGAACTACACACACACACACACACACACACACACGAGTGCTTGTAAACCTTGGGAAATCTAAATAAGCTCTATGAATTATACCCATATCAGTTTCCTGGCTCTGATACTGTACAAGAGTCATGCAGTTTCCTTTAGGAAAACTGAGCCAAAAGTGCCTGGGACCACTTTGCACATTCTCCTTTGGAACTTACTATGAATCTCTAATCATTTCAAAATAAAAAGTTAAAAGAAAACAAGGGTAGTTATACTGATGATACCAACACACTACTGCCTACATTTATTGTTGTGGTTCTCCTAGTTGTTCTTTCATTTGGATCCTTAGCCAATTTCACTGGGTCAGGAGCACTCGTGTCATTAGATTTGTTTCAGAGATGAGAAAACAAGTTTGGAAATACTGTTGGTTACATGTGTGAAGTCATCTGAGTGGTGATTTAAACCTGGGGGGGGGGGTGGCTCTGATTTTATTACTAATTCAATAGCTTCTGATAGTGATTTAGAAAGTAGGCTATAATTTCATAGGCTTGAAACCAGACTTCTTAATAGTGTTTTCTCTGTGCACTCAGCCCAAAGTACCCCAACATGGGCCACTAATTTACTACAAAATAAATTCATACCCCCACCCACATAATCACACACCTGTCTCCAGCAGAATTTTTTTTCTCCATCAGGAGTTTTGCTTCCCTTCTTTTAGGGCAAGGAGTTCAAGTGGGAGGCAGGGTATCTCCTGGGCCAATCACTCTTCCTAAGTGACAGACATGAGAAAGAGAGAAAGCATTAAAGCCACACTGGCAAGAGGTCAAATCTATCTACCGATAATAGATTTATATGTATATTTGTCAATGCATTCTTCTTTAGTAATAAACATGGTCAGAGCTTAGGCAAGAAAGTTGTTTCCACAAAATCATTGTTTTAATCCAGAGATTAAGAGCCTCATGCTTTATGGACTAAGCCAGCCAGGTGCCCCTCCACAAAATTATTTTTCATATCATTCCAACATCAATGCACCTCTAAGAACATAGGCTTCTAAGTGCCCCCCTGTTCCAGACATGTGATCCCTTGAGCAGCTGATCAAAGCACTTGTTTTGAGATGTTATGCACTAAAAGGAGAAAAATAAATGTCAAGACCCCAAAAGGTAGCTACAAAGACAATGGCGCTTGTCTGATGAAAAGAATACAGAAAAGAAGGAAAAAAATCTTAGTAAAAAGGAATTATGCCTCTGGTATCCAATATCTTAACATTAATATATTCAGAAGAGAAAATTAGTTTGTCCTGACTCCATTTGTGAAAGAGTAAGTTCAATAAGAAGGATAAAATTGGTTCTTTTTTTTTTTTGAAGTCCCTCTGAAAAGAATTCTGTAGTAATTAGTTTAACACCTGAGATGCTTAAAAACCTCTTCAGAAAAAGGTTCATTTGGAAGTTCATTGTGATTCTATCTTCCGCAGTTAGCATGCAAATGTTAATTGGCAACCCTCCAGTACCTGCTGTAGGGTGTTCTAGATGAGGCAAAAGGAGTATAGCTATTTTGTATTATTATTAATATTATTGTTGTTCATTTTGTTGTTGTTATTTCTTAAGTTCCACCTATGAGTGAAATCATACGGTGTCTGTCTTTCTCTGACTGACTTATTTCGCTTAGCATGAT